GTAACGGTGCTAACGCACTATTGTCCTCATTTCGAATTATCCACGGCTACTTTGAATACTACTTGTGATATCAGGCCATATTCTTCAGTACTAAAACATTGGCAAAGTATAACAGCTGAGTGCGAGAGAGAAACATCTACTATTTCCTAAACAATAGTCATCCTTAAACTGTTTGAGCATGGAAAGAGAAATGTAAGGAAGGGGAAACGGATGGCACTTAAATTTGGGACCCCTACATCTTACTTTCCGCATAACTGCCTACTTCCTACGTGGCAGCTGGCCTGGTTACCGAATTATGGCCTTGGCTTGAGTTTATTTTCTGTTAATTTCAGTCTTAGTCTATTTTCGTTTCCGTTTTTGGCGACATGCAGTCGACTTTTGGCTGAGAAGCTTTCCCTATATCAACTCTATATAACTTATATATCAACTCCAAACCATCCCTATATCGTCCGTATAACATCTGCATATCACATCTTCATCAACTTTATATCATCTCTATAGAGTTTGTGAAGTTTATATTTAGTCGAAAACTGTGGCCAATTAGGCAATATGCCGCCTCCTTGTTTCCTATTGGTTGTATTTCACATTTTAAATTATCGCGTGCAAACATTTGATTATTTAACCAATTGCTCGTATTATTTTCTACTTTTATGCGCTCTACTTTTTTAATTATTATTTTTTCTTTCCCCTTGTGTGCTCCACTCATTTAGCCCTTAGTACAACATGTCCCGTATTACAGAAGGATGGAGTTTTCGCATGCTGTAGTTAACTCCAAATGTAACTTTTACCGGGAAAAGAAAACCAAAATGAAAACCTCATCTTAAAAAGCATGTTAAAATAACTCAAGTAGAATAAACTGAAACTCTATTCGGAAAAACTGCCGCCTACTTTAACATAAAACCTTTTCATTCAAGCGTTAGTGTCTCATCTCATACCAAGCCGTTATAACAGTGATAGACTTAAAATAGCAATTTCTAAAATACGGAATGTGGGAAATTTGTTTACACATTAGTAGTTCTACACCCACCCATAATTTTATTCATTTGTCTAAAGTGCTTTCGAAAACGGAACTCTCTTGCACTTAAGTAAACTGACAGAGTATTTTGAAAAAGGCTGAGGAGGCTATCACGAAACATAACCAGTTTAAAGGCTCACAACACGCAAGAAAAGAAGATTAAGAAAGCATCACAGTGATAGTTATAAGAAACCATGTGTCTTCACTACCCTACGATATGCAGGGGGTTAACTGCTTTACATTAACCAGCAGGTGCTAAAATTGGCAGACATGAAGGGAAAAGTACAGTTCATGACTTACATGTAGTTGGGTGTATTCAGACTTGGTGGTATTTGATGTGTGAAAGCTCCGTTAGTTAGCGGTTTACATATTTCGGAACCCTCTACAACATAGCCCGATCTATGCAGATCAGGAATCTCTGGCATGGTAACCTTTCCGATGTTTGCTTTTGATGACGTTTCCAGAGTGAACGTAATAGCCTTTTTGGCTACAGTCGAGGTCCTCTCCGCTTTTTTTATACCTGCACCACGTATACGCAGGTGAGGAAACTTCTCAGCCCATTCTTTGCATTCGGGTAAAAGATGTTCGACGCCGGGTAACATTTGAATTGGCCTCGCGCTTCCTAATTTTTGTGGTTAAGAGGGGAGGTTTTAGGTCATTACTGTCACCATGAGTTTAAACATTACGTTTTAATAAGGAGTAATTTAACTTCGCAAACATTCCAACATAGCAATTAAGATGGCAGCAACAGAAAAGGAGCAAAAAATTATAGACTGAAGAACATAGAGTGATATGTTGCTCTGTTCAACTCAAAACCTAACCCTCCAAGGGCGCTTTGGTAAAGCCAATTGTCAAAATGTCTCGCTGATGCACAAAACACCTGGGTGCCAAAAAGGACGAGAGAAACAATTTAGTTTGTCACACATGACACCAACTTTAATTAATCGTGGACGCCGCAGGTTACCTTAAGCGCTGAGCAGTAGAGTTAGCGACGAAATCGGCATTAGAATGTTAAATATAACATGGATCTCGTTTATTTAGAACGCTCAAGGGCACTTTGAAAAATTTTTTTAATGTAAAGGTATGAATAGATATCGCGCTTCTTTGTAATTCGACAATCTACACATTCTGCTGATGCCAGACAAATATAGATTTGCATATTAAGTGTCTGCGGAGGATGAAATTATAATTGAGAAGCGTAAGACGGACACTCACGTTACTGACCTTGCTTAAATGCAGGGCATATGTACAGCACAGAAGCTTCGTCTAATGCTTCATATGAGGTGCATCGTAAAAATGTCCGTTGGGTGTCTCCCAAACGCCAGTTTTCCACGGGCGCTTGTAACAACAGAGACCGAATTAGTGCTGGAAGGACACCTCGGACGCTTTACTCCACTGCATTTGGATAACATCAGGAAAGGGTTCCTGATAAAAATCACCACAGTTTTCTATACATAACTAACTAACTATTTCGTTGTACTAAGCTTGCTTCGCTTTAATATTTCATACCATCGTCGACTTTGGTGCTTTTCGTGCATTATGTTTCTATGGTTTTTCTTGTGTACGTATGCAAAATTTAACAATGTCAATAGTGGGGGATATGCGAGTTCCAGCAAGCGGTTCAGAAGAAGAGAAGGCAATCACTGGAACAAGAGTTCTATTTTTCTGACGTTTCGGATTCCCATATAGTGTGCTGAGAGGTTTCCTGAGCAATAGAATCAGTCACATGGGAAGGGCCGGGCGCAGCAACAACTCTGACGACAGCAAGCCTAATTGTCACGCAATTATCAGGCCCGCATCCGACGCTGACAAGGCAATGGTGGCAATTAATGAGCCGAACGCGAAGTGTCAAGCCAGTGCCGCATCAATTAAGACACAGGCGGTGGCTACGGAAGTGAATAATCATCACACGCACGCAGATGACCATTATGAACTATAAATACCGTGCAACCTGTGCATGTTTCAATCCTATCTGTGCATGACTATGACTATGCTACCATCACCTATGTTTAAGAATTCCCGACGGAATCCGAAACGTCAGGAAAATAAAACTCTTATTCCCTCGATCGCATCCTCTTCTTCTGAATATAACACTCTGTTTCACTTCCTATATGGAAATCTTAAGCGAAATGCGATTGCTTTTCAGCTTACCATGCTACAATATCCGTCCGAATTCGGTTCTATAAATTTGGTTCGCTCTATTTTCTCATTTCCCTTCTCTTGATATACCCCGCACATATAATCCTTATTATCACCGATCCCGTACTACACAATCCTGATTTTTTGATATCATGGTGATGTTAATAAGGAACCCTTACCTAGCATCAGAATTTCTAGGCGATGGTTGAATGAAATTGGTGGCATAGTGATCTGCTGTGTAAAGAAGAACGGCAACCAGAAAGCCGGGCAGAAGTGTCAGCAAAGTTAGATGGGGTGCAGGAAGACAATGCTACCATGTCTTAAGCCACTCGAACTTGTTCAGAGTGCTACTACCCCCAAGAATGTCCGTGCAGGCCTTTGAATACACCGCAATCAAAGCTGTGCAAAAACAACGTGGTGGAACTTCCGAAAAAATGTCTCCCACTCTTCCGTACTGTACACCTGGCTAGATACCCTTATGTCTATCCTCCAAAATCCAGCGGCACTTTTGAAACAAGTCCTCGTAACTCTGCCAGGCAACAGCCCCTTTTTAAAAAATACACCACTCTAAGCAGCAAAACTCTACACCACCGGGCACGTAGGCCAAACTTATCAGGTCTCGTGACACTTGGGACTATCAGAGGGTGAAGTGGATGAGGAATCGGATATAACGGCTATAAAACCTTAGTAAGCGCACGCCGACCGCGTCAAACACTTTCATCATCTACCAAACATCACTCCTCGACCTACCTCGTCTGCACCTCACATTGCTGCATTTTACTTGTCCGCCCTGATTAGTTTTTCACTAAATAGTGATGGCAAAGAGCTTACCTAACACGTACCTTCACCGCAGTGGATTACAGGACTCATAGTGTAACGCCGACCGCTCAAGTACTCTATTCCTTTCCCAAAGAACAAAGACAAATTGTAAAAATGGCAGCCGTCGACTCAAATCCAACCCAACGGCTGATCTGTCTGAAGCCAAAATCAGCCCCTTAGAATGAATAACACTCGAGAATAGCTCATTTTAATTAAACCAGCATCCCCTCGGTATGCTCCTCTTATACATATTTTTTTGAGTTTCAGTCAATAAAGTGTAACTGATTGTAAAGTTACTTTGCAGAAAACGTGAGGGAAGTGGACAAGTGAGTTTTCTTTTTGCAATTCAATTAACACGCATTCGTTTTTCTTCAGAACAATTGTTTCAGATCTCGATTTCATAATGGCAATGGAACGTGAAATGGCGTAAATGTATTAGATTTAAAATCACATCTCACGACATAGTGTAGGTTAATAGCGATTAGTATCAATAAGATGCACGCTCACAATTTACACTGTATATTTTTCAAGGATTTTCCCATGCAAATGCGCACCATAGGCACACAAGCATTTGTGAGGCCAGAAGAGAACAAACCAACATTTACTTAGGGCCAGTGGACAACGGATAGACTTCTAGAATATAAAGGCACCCACATAACTTAGCATGTTTGCCGCCAGAGAGGATACAAATATTCTAAACTTAATTGAGTCTAGAAAACATTTCAGAATAGACCACACCGTTTTTAAGGGAGAAGGATGGAATGAAATCACGGCCAATTCACCTTCGTAGGAGCCAGTTCGTATAAAGGCAGAATTTGTAAGAATTATGAGAAAAAAGATTACCTTGAAGGGCATTCATTTGCTTGTGAGGAGCACAACTCAGTTCCTTTATGGCTGGATCTAGGGGGACGCCGTTATTCTGCCCGAGGTACTGTGATACCTTCAAAACTTTGGTGCCTAAAGGAGATGTTGAGCGTTTGTTTGACTTCTGCGTGCGAAATTTCGACTCCCCGAGTAACATGTCATCTGTCTCGTACAGTATGGTATCAATTGCGTCAAACATTTGTTGCACGCGGTACGATTCTTCTTTGTCAAACTCCTGCAAAAAGTAGTCACATGCAAAAGTCATAAGTTGCTTAAGTAGAGTTTGAGTGAAGGGGCATAATGTGGAGAGGAAAAATGAAGTGATTCCGTTGTATAATATTATGTCTACGTTGTTCACGATGGTGACCATATAAAAGTTGCAATCATTATTGGGCGAATATATATCCCAGATAGATGTCAGATCAGTAGGAGATGACTATGGTCCTATTTCCATCATGAAAACCTAAGTTTAATATGTTACTTTCAGAAGTGAATTTTACTGTGACTAGCTTACTTTACTGTCATCCTATTTTTATATCCGCAAGACTGCTGTTACAGGAAATCACGGCAGTTTTCCAAACTTAATTTGGCAGGTTTCATTAGAAACATCCACTCACTGCTTTTCATATGACCTTCACAGTTCACACGAGCCAAGATGGTAAGGACTTTCCAACTAGGACTCAAAGGCTACTGCAGTCCCAAGCACGTTAACCAAACTCGGTATAATAAAATGTATTTAGAACATGGATACAAGCTATGCAGACATTGTCTTAACAAGACCTATCATCCTGAGTAACTAATAAATGACCAAGCAAAAAGCAGATTAACCATTTTACTTAATGTGCTCTATTGGTACTTCCAGCAGATGCAAGCGCATTTGAAATAAATATACTAAACTGGAACAATGAAAATCTCCCTTCTTATAATTCGAAGTTAATGGACAAATGCCTACCCAAACAGTCGCAGGTAATTCTTGTATGGGTTTGCTTTCGGCACTGTCTTGCAAATACACACTATCTCATACTGCAACTTGATGTTCTCCCTGCAACCAATCATATCCTTATCATAGTAGTGCATTTTTTGCCCTTCGTATACAGGTCACTGAACAGGATATGTTCTACCTAACTAGCTCAAACAGGAAATGCCTCTGGGCTTATAATTTTATTCAGTAACCCATTTGTGGAAAAGGAGGTTAATGCTGTTATCTATCGTCCTCAAAAACATCGTTCTTGGTGTTTTAGCCAACAGGAAATATAATCCCAACGATAGGAGAGTTTATTTACCAGGAATTGCGAGGCAATCGGTAAAGTATTCCCGATAAGCAGTGTTCAACAACATCATTTTCCATAATTATAATATCTTTATGGCATATTAGATCACGCTAGGGATTTTGAAAGAAAGGCAATGGTAAACTGACAATGATAAAAACAAATTGAATATAAACTCACTTCAAAAAACTCTCTTGTTTAGGCTGCAAGTCCAGGTTGAAATTTAACAACCAAAACGTGCGGCTGTTAGCTACTTAAGCTCACTAACTGACAGTACTTATTATCTAATATCCATTTGGTTGGAACTAGTGGGCTTTCCTATAAAACAAGACGACGAAACTATATGCCTCGGTAGCGGGTTGCAAACAATTGTTTCTTTTTTGTTCATGGAAAAGTTAAAAATAATTTCCTTTTTAGAAAATTGCTGTAAAGATGTTCAAAAATTTTACTTGGAACACACAAAAATGGTTTTAGTGTTTAAATTCTATTGAATGTACCCTCGAAATCGGCAACGATAATAGATTCCAATCTATTGCCTGTATTTTCTTATCAAACAAAACTCTCAACTTCTTCATTATTTTTAGGACTTATTTCGAATTCAGATTCACAAGAAACCTTTACAGGTGTGCTTCTTAACAGGACACTCAAACAGGTGATTGCTGACACAATGTATTTCTATAAATGTCACGCAAGTGTTAACACTGCAGACCCCAAGTGAATATAAATACAGTCGAGCCCCCGCAATTGTTAAAAGACATAGGTATCGTATGAACTGAAAGGCAGACATCCCAAGAAATGTAATTTCAAGAAAAGGCGTCCTTTGGGAAAATGAGTAAGTTTATTCAGTAAATTTTCGACACTAGATCCCCAGGTCGTCCTCAGACTTGAAAGTAATTTGCAAAGAACAGTTAGCATTTCAAAGTGGTGATACAATTATATAGTCATCTGTAGTGGGTGTTAACTGGGAGTTAAACTTTGCTTCACACCGTGGCGGACATGATTAGCAGTCGCAATGGCGTAATGGCTAATTGGCAACTGTAATTTGAGTCAGTCCAGGGTCAGTCCAGGTCATCCGATGTGGACGCTAATTGCGGTTCATGTTGGTCCATGTTTGTCGGCTGCAGCCTTCTCCACCTTTCTTTGAGGTGTTTGTACACTCCAGCTAACTGGACACGCCGGTTGATGCATGAATACACGGAGTGCATGGCCTCAAGAAATTCTCGGCCTTTTTTGGAGGGGCAAACTTCGACGATGCGTGTTTTTTCCCATGCAAAGGTATGACCTGTGTCAAGGCAATGCATGGCCACTTCGGAAAAACGGTCATGTTTCTTCGCCGCCGATTGGTGCTCGCGGATGCGTGTGGAGATGGATCTTCCTATTTGGCCACAATATACCGTGTCACAAGCTTTACA